TTGTCCACCTTATTCACCCACCTGGCACTGTGCAGCGTCCGGTTCTTCCCCAGAGTCAGTGACCTCTAAAGGTAAATGTTTTTAATGGATTCAGGATGTTGAGGCAGCCACAGCAGTGTGACTAAAGACAGTCACAACGGAGGAGTTCCAGAACCTCTTCAGAGAGAGGCAAGAACCATGAGATAAGTGGGTTTGAAATGAAGGGGAGGGTAGGGGAATTAATAGCAGTGTGTCTTATACTGTAATAAAATGTGTAATTAAAACACTACATTTTAAGCTGGGCGTGGTGATGCCCGCCTGTAATCCCAGCACTTGAGAGGCTGAGGCAGGAGGATCTTCGCGAGTTCAAGGCCAGCCTGAGCTACAAAGTGAGCTCAAGGTCAGCCTGAACTGCATAGCAAGACCCTGTCTCAAAAAGACAAAAAAATAAAATAAAATAAAATAAAATAAATAAATTCAAGCCCAGTCTGGGCAATTATTTTTGGCAGGGAGCAATTTAGTAACTTAGTGAAACCTTGTCCCAAAATAAAAAGTAAAAAAGGGTTGGGGATGTTGCTCAGTGCAGAGGCCCTGGGTTCAATCCCTATTAAATTAATTGATAAATTAATTAATTAATAAGGCCCAAGGATGTAGGTTAGCCTGAGGTTCAATCCCCAGTACCGAAATAATAATAACAAGGCTGAAGAGATAGAGCTGTGGTAGAATACTCACCTCACATGTTTGAGGCCTTAGGTTCAACCCTCAGTTTACTGAAAGAACAAAAAAGAATCAGAAGGATCTTTAGTTATAGAAACTTACAGCAATGGAGAGAACTGGACTGCTCTACTTAGAAATACAATGGAGATTCAGCCCCCTGAGTGGTCATGGAAAAGGAATCATCCTAAAGATGAATGGTGTGTCTTTTAGCTGTGGGCTGCTTAAGACAAACCTGCCCCTCCCTGCTTGTAATTATACCTCAGTTAATTGCACATATCCTCCCTGGGCCTCAGTCTTCTTGTCTATAAAATGGGCCTCATAATGCCTCACCCATTTGAGTGGGTTGGTGGGGTAAATGGAAAAGATGAATGTCAAAGCCCCCTGTGAACTATGAACTGCTTTCATAAAGTTAATGCCAAGTGTTGATTACAAGGTGTTCTATGGCACTGGTGCAGGTACTATTGTTGTGTAACTATTACTAGACTATCAACATTCCGTTTGCCCTTCCTTATGCACTGTATATTGTCAAGGGGGAGAACATTCACTTTTAGGGGGGTTGTTTGTTTTATTGAAGATGTTCTAGCTTCAGTTCCCTCACATTGGATGAAAGTATATTTGCATTTTCATGATACCCTTTTTCTCCCTGGGTCTTTTGCCATTTGTTCCCTCATAAATCCATCTCCCTGCTCAGACCACTTCCGGCCTCCTCTGCGACCCTTCCATCTTCTCTCCAGAGCTGCAGGGGCCCCTGAGACTGCCCTTGACTGGAGGTTCAAAAGATGGCCTCAGAGCAAAGCCAAGGACAGCCCTGGTTTTCTTAAAGAAAAGTGGAAAAGAAAAAAAAAAAAGAAAAGAAAAATGGAGCTCCTCTTGAGCCGGAGTGCATTTACTCTCCTCTCTCCCAGCGTGCCGGCCACTCGGAAGGTCAATAATTGACTCTCTGCTGACCCAGGCCTGGGAGTGTCTGTTTATGTGTGTGCTCTCCCAAGACAGTGCTGCAATGAGTGACTCTTCCTTATCAGGTACAACCAAGGGGCGCTTGGGAGGGACCAGCTGTCCGACCCTGCCTGACTCAGGCTGTTGCAATCTGGGAAATGGATTCCGGGCCTGTTTATCTCTGTGTAGGGCAGGGCCACGCTCGACCCATGAGGCCTCTGATCTCAGAAGCCGCTCCTCCAAGGCAAGACAAGAAGCTCGGAGAGAACATAATGCTTTGAGCAAGACTCAAAGAGGGAGTAAGATGAAA